AAAACGTTGAAACGTATTCTGCGAAACGGGTATGCAGGACTGTACGATACGGATATCGGTTTCTATTAGGAGCAAATGCCAAAACCGATATTCGTTTTGTAAGCTACGGATTTTTTTTAGAGAGTAGTTTTTCGCGCTGAATCCAAAATATGTATAAACTGTATGAAAAAGCAAGGATTTTTGGAAAACCTATAACTCCGTATAGGAAAATTTTGGCATTTTTTTGGCATGCACCATAGATGTAGTGCATCAAGACGAACATTTTAGCGTAAAAATGAGTGAGATCAGACCTCCGCTAAGTCGCGCGTTTCGATTATGCTGAGAACATCGTTTTTCTTCTATGACCGTTTTTTTTTATCGAATATTTTCGTAACGAAAAGAATAAAAATTTTTCGTCATTCGATAGCGCGTTTAACGAAGTTCTTTTGATTCTATTCAAATCACAAAACAGCTCACTTTCGATTTTTGGCCAAATGTCCGCCGATATGCCCATTGTGGGAAGGGGGGTATGTAATTGTTTTATCAGTGTCGTAGAAGATTTCTGTGAATAATTTTTATTAAGGGATGCAACTCTATCTGACGAACGACTGCGGGTGGCAATATGGTTGGTCTGAATATACTATCTTCATATTGATGTTTGATGATTTTGTTGTTGATATTCCTTATCCGTTTTTAATGGGGAAAATTGGATGGTAACGAAGATACTAGAGATATTCATTACCAAAATACTAGTATAAAAATTTGTAAAAATGTATCACCGTTTCTATCTATGTTTAGAAGGGAAGAGCGTGGTTTTCAAATACATTCGCGTTAAATTAATATCGTGTTTTAAAGTGGACAAAGGTTTAGTTCAAAGGAGCGTTTTTTAACTGATTTAGACTAACACTATACAATGGTCCTATGTTTCATGTAAATTCTAAATATGATTCGTGGAAAGTCACTTTCAACCAAAAAAGTTTTATTTTTTCTGTTGAAAGTAAGTACAATTGTTCATTTAGACTGCTATGGATACCATATTGTTCAACATGATAACCGTTCAAGAAACATTACATTTAAACTAGGTCAATTGGTGCCATGTCACATTTATGCTGAATACGAGGATTATAATATCATTTTTAGTAAAATGTGGATCCGTTTGTAATTGTATAAGTACATTTGGCGCGTTTCATCAAGTAATTTGAGACAAGAGAGAGATGCAAGACCCTTTGAGCAAAACACAAAGATGTTGGAATCCTCGTTTCATCATCATAGGCATAAACTCCTACATCCAACATTAACTAAAATAGCAGAAAAGTCTCATTTTTTATTGCGACTCATTCCACTTTAAAACCATATAAACTTTCAATTTTATGCGAAAACTGCACCAAAATCAGCATGCGAAAGAAAAAGAAAATCTTCCTTATAGGATGCTCAGGATCAGGGGCCTGTTTCTTAAAAAAACTTAAGTAGAAAATCTTACTTAAGTCAAAAAAGACAAAGACTTTTTTGGGCTTAAGTCTGACTTAAGTAAGATTTTCTACTTAAGTTTTTTTAAGAAACAGGCCCCAGTTATTTATGTACACTTCCATAGGTGACAGAATCGTATCGTGCGATACCGTCTTAATCTCAACTAAGAAGTTGTCCGATGAAGAAAATCTCTTAATGCTTTTCTATTTGTTTCCTATACAGTATAATTTGAAAAATAAACATGATGCTTCGTGAAAAATCGATAATTGTCATACAGTACTGCACGAAGTGATCCTCACAAACCATAACTGCATCAATCATTTGATACATCATCAAACAGTCAAGTTTTGTCTACTTTTTCTGTTGTCATATATTCCCAGAAGTATGAAACCACACAATACTTAAGCTTGAACATTGGACGGATAAGCGAGAGACATTACAGAGTATTTAGTGAAATTGAAAGTCAATGTATAATGTTTTTGAATGCCAAATTTCAGATGTGATCGTCGGTCGTAAAATACCTATATTTCCGTAACTAATCACGATCAACACATGAAATCTATACCACAAATAGAAGAGGAGATCTCTCATACAAGGATAAACTCTTCCTCTCTATTGGATCATGATTTATTCGCATTTTAGAGAGAGAAGCATGAGTATCACGAATCATTCGATCAAAGAGTCCCAAACTTGGTGGATGATGACAGATGGGCGAGTCTGAGTCGACTCCAGTCGCATTTTTCTATGACGCGAACGACTCTATAAACTTGATAAACTGACTCGAGTCCACCATGTGTAATTTTGGATTATTATGGCGATGTTTATTAGATTTTAGCAGAAGAATGTATTGATTCAAATCTTATCTTTCAAAAACAAAATAAATATTCTATTTTATTCAAACTTGCTAAAAAGTTTCTGTCTGCCCCTGCAACATCTGCTCCGATAGAGAGAATATTTTGCCAAAGTGGTTTTTTAACACGTTCATTGTTCACGGTATACATTGAAAAATTTAAATTTGTTAACATATTTAAAATGTAATAAACGTTTGTTATAAAGTGTTTTTAAACTTGTTAAGTAAAAGAGCGTTTTCTATGTGAATTGAATTAAATGGTACCCATCTTTAACTCTAGATTACAAAAAAAGAGACAAGATAACACGTAGCAGATGTCCTACAGAATGATCACAAACGAATCCTTAAAACAGTAGAAGTCAGCTACACGCTGTTCTTGGAAAAATGAATCAGGAGGAAGTTTCTCTCTAGAAAATGACTCAAGGTGACTCAAGTCAATTTTTGAAGCTCGAGCTCAGACCTAAAATGGAAGCCTGTTTACTCGGACTCGACTCAAACTCGAAAAAGTGGTAATTCGCTCATCTCTGAATGGTGAGCATATCATGTAAACTACATGTGCACAAAATTTGAAGTTCAAAGCTATCATAGTTTCGGTTCCAGCGGTGTGGATAATTCTGTAGAGTACTGTATCTGTCTCTTTCATCTATACTTCCTTTTTTCTATTTTTCTTTTTCTTAAGATGTAATAAAAACGCTGTAGATATACGAAGCATAACGATGACAATACATCTCTATCAGAAAAACAACACTATTTTCTCTGTTATTTTACGCTTTTTTTGCTATATAAGTTAGTTACTTATTATTTTTCTTTCCTTTAAAATAGTAGAACAAAAAAGAAAACGCATTTTTTTCTTTTTGTTTGGGTCGTTGTGTATTGTAATATTTCTACATGTACAGGAATTTTTTTCAAAACATAGAATGATTGTCTATTAAATGCTACCGTAAACGTGTGATATGACATAGTTAGAAGGTTAACATTTATTTCTTTTTTTACAGAACAAACTGTTATATATATAAAAAATAATAGCACATTTCACATTTTTTTATTTTTTATTTTCTTTTTGATTGTTGGAATCATCTGGTATGTAAAGATCAAATACAGAGAAAGGAAAAGAAATAAATGATTATATCACATAAATTACTACTGTTGATCGTCAGCTGGTAAAAAAATGTTCACACTGCTTCCGTCACTCTATTTTGCTGCAACAAATTATATTCGAGGTTGGAATGAAAGTATACACCATGAAAATTATGATAAAAAGCAATTTGATTATGATTTAATAAAACAGAAACTCAGTTATTACGATGTTAAATCGTTACGGCAAGATAACAACATAAAATCTGAGACAAATGTAACATCACAAACGTATGTCACGTCCGAAAATAACGATAATATCGATAAACAACAATATCAACAACAAACAAATACTACAGTTAAACTACGAAATAATAAACGAGGATCCATATTACTTGAACGACGAAAAACTTTTACGGGAAATTTAACTGACGATGATTTATTATATTTAATGAATGAAACAGGATTTACACGAGAACAAATTTTGGCTTGGCATAGTGACTTTCTGGTAAGAAAATTATTTAATTACAAGAATTTGATTGTACAGACACTTTTTGTTGAATAGAAAAATTTACTAAGGATGATTCAAGACGTCTTTGGTCATCTACAGATATTCTTTTAGTAAATCATTTCAAAATTATATTTTTCTGTTTTTTTCTTCTACAGCAAGATTGTCCAGATGGTAAATTATCAAAAGAAAAATTTATCGAAATTTATAGCCAGTTTTATACGAAAGGACAAGTACAAAAATTTTGCGAACATGCTTTTCGTATATTTGATAAAGATGGAAGTGGAAATATTGGTAAAATTTAGAATAAAATGTTTTAAATTTCGAAATTATTTTATTCAATTATATTCTATTTAGATTTTGTTGAATTTTTGATTGCCGTCGGTATGACATCATCAAAAGATCGTCAACGTAAAATCGAATTATTCTTTTCCATGTATGATATTGATAATAATGGATTAATTGATGAAACGGAAATGAAATGTGTTGTTGAAGTAAGTCGCTCATTAGTGTAATGAGATTGTATATAATGTATTAGAAATTACGCAGTCAAGATAGATCTTATTTATTAAAAAATTTTATTAAGTATTAAGAAGACACATCTTGACATTTTGAAGAGAATTAAATTCATTGATATAAATATAATATAGGACGAAGCTTAACCTCTTTCGATGTTGAGACTATTGGTATGTTCTAATGTGATATTCATTAATTGATTAGGGTTAGAATAATGTTTTTTGAGTTAAAATACTACACATTAGTCATGTATCATCGAAAATTCTACTTCTTATATTTTTGTCGATAAAAACGACTTCTTTAACTAGTAAAACAATAATGTTAGGTAGACATATAGAGAATAAACAGTATACGTAAAAGATAAAATCTCACACACACTGTCTTTATCAAATATATTTAGTCAGTATATTCATAATGAGTTGTAATCGATTTTTTTATTTTAGTCAATTTATGAATTGATGGGTATTGATTATAATTCAACTCGTATAGATACAAAAGTACGTGATATATTTTCAAGGACCGGTCTTGATCAAAAACATTATCTAACAAAAGATGAATTTATAAAAGCATGTGAAAATGATCGGTATATTCGTAAATTGTTGGGACCACATACCAAAACAAATTAGATGTAGACTATACAAATGTATCTATACTTGATTACGTCACAAGCAAATTCACGGTCAATATTTGTATAATTAATGTATACATATTATGCAACTTATACCTCAGATAAAATGTATTGTAATATCCATGGGCATAAACAAAATGGTTTTTCTGTGACACATATGTAAACAATTTTATTTATTTTATTATTGCTAGTCATTTTATATTGCAATACAATATTCAATAGTTTCATGCTGGTTGAAATATGTTAGAATTAGTTATAAACGTTTAATTTATATGTGGTTAGATTAAACTGTAATTCTAGATAACAGTACTGAATTCATTTTTCGACTTTTTCGGTTATAGGTTGTTTTTATCCAACATTCAATAGTCTTTCGTTTCAACTTTAATTGACTTTTGTTTGGATAGAATTATTTTTTTTTCAATTTTTCTGTTTATTGTTGAACGATGTTTTAACATATGACATTTAATTGAAAATAACTTAAAATAGAAATTAGTTTCTTTAGTAAAAGAAGTGAAACGTATTGACATAAAAAAACTCAAGCATTCGTTTATTGGTGTTGCCAATTACTAGAACTCTCTAGCATGTCTGATGCGTAAATGAAGCAGAAGGACGCACTTAAACGCTATATGAATATTCTAAAAGGAATTTGAGAACTATAAGCTCTGTATATTGACTG